TATATATATATATATATATATATATATATATATATATATATATATATAAAATATATATATAAAATTAGTCAGACATTATTTGAAATAAATATTTACTATTAAATTGTTACAAAATTGAGTTTCAAATTGAGTCAAATTATATAATATATTTATTATATATACGCCTACTTCTCCATGTCGCGCTAAGATGCAATGTCTTATTTGCGATAACTTAAAAACCTTCAGCCGAAAGTCAAGAGTCGATTACGTTATGTGACATTGACTCGGTAATCTACTTTCATTGACTTTATGTAAGATAAAATATAATATTTAAATGTTGTTAAATACGACATATAATATATTCATTATATAATGTATTTTAAATATATGTATATAGATTATCAGAACTGATTTCCAAGTCATATATAAAAGCAAGTGCAGCTCTCAGTTTAGGGTACTTGAGATCGTATTCCCTAAGAATGTTGAGGTTCCCATCAGCCAGTTCAGTCTTACTGCTGCTGCCACTGCTGCTTACGCTGGCAGATGCGCAGCATTGCAGCTGGCAGTACAATCTGCAGACCAACCAGCCCATCAATATAACCAGCGCCAATTTTCCAAGAGCGCTGCCCGCGGGCAGCAACTGCCGTTACCTGCTGAAGGCACCGCCCAATCATGTGATCCACGTGAACTGTCGCTTCGAAGTGGTAAGAAATGGTCAAGAAATACCTTCCAGTAGTTCAGCCTATTAAAGTTCGATCTGCTTTCAGTATCCTGACATCTGTCAGTCGAAGATTCTGTTCATCTCACGTGACGGAGACTTTCAGTTCCGCGAAGCCGAGCGATTTTGCCGCATGGGCCAAGTGAGTCGCACCTCCAACTACCAGAGCCTCGCCTTGGCCTACCAGTCCACCAGTGCCGCCACCCAGCAGCGGGCCCGGCTCAGCTGCCAGGCGGTGGCACAGCGAGTGCCCTGCGACTGCGGCTGGTCCCAGCCGACGCGCATCACCAACGGCGTCGAGGCCACCAAGCACGAGTTTCCCTCGACCGTGGGCCTACGCGACATCAGCTCCAATCAGCCCATTTTCTGCGGCGGCAGCATTGTCAGCGATCGCTTCATAGTCACCGCAGCGCACTGCATGGCCCAGCGATCGCCCAGTCGTATTGTGGCGCTAGTCGGGGAGCACGATCTCACCAGCAGTAAGTGCAGCTCAGCAGCCAGTTTATCGCTCTCTTCTCTCTATATTCTCTCTTTGTCATGAAGCCAGCGAGTCGATATTCGCTCTTCAATATGCCATACAAAGCATTATCCCTCATCCAGCCTACAGCAGCATTGGCGACGCCAATGATATCGCTCTGCTCCGCACGGCCACAACCATCGAATTTTCACGCGGCGTGGCGCCCATCTGTCTGCCTTTTGGACAAACACAACAGTGAGTACTAATTATGTTTTAAGAGATTGATATAGGGGGATAAATGGTCAAGAATATAATTTCTATTATATTTTAATTACTATTATATTTTGCATTTGTTCATGTATCTCACACAATACCTTACATAATGCTTTGCGATATACATATATTCCTTAATATTTCTGATGGTTATCTTATGATAAATTAAAATATACACAACAATACAACAAACGATATTATCTGTGGTACATATACATATATGAGTCTATACTACTATACCATATTCACATATTATTGCAAAGGTTTTAAAGACAGATTACATTGAGGTAGTAAAATCATAAGTTGAAGAAGACTCAAATTATTAAGTAAATAATTCAGTGAATATTTTATAAATATTTTTGTAAACTTTAAATTTCATATTAATGAACTAGCATAAAATTATTAACTAAATTATTCAGTGCATATTTTATAAATATTTATTGAAGATTTTAAACATTATTTTAATCGATGTAATCTCAAATTATTAAGAAAATTAACCTTTGCATATTTTATAAACATTTTTTAAGGATTCTAAATTTCATTTTAATCGAAGTAAGATCAAATTATTCAGTAAATTATGGCGTGCATTTTTTTTTAATATTTTCTTTTGCCTGAAAGAAACTCAAAGCTAACTTTTTTAGCATTCTTATTAAATTTGTCTCATAGCTTATCTCATTGGCCTCGAAACCAAGTAACGCCTAAGTAACACACCTAAAGTGAAATGAAGAATTAACTATTAATTTATGCAGCCATAAAGAGACTTTAAAGCATTTATCTTCACTTTGCGCCTACTAAGTAAAGGGAAAACATTATTATTATTGTCATAAAATTATATTATTACCAAGAACTGGTAGCACCTCGACTATGACCATGATTAATGTGCATAAATCTCTCTTAACTCCCTTAGAGCGGAAACCTACGAGATTGTCGATATTGCTGGCTGGGGTACTCTGGGCTTTGGCATGTCCAAGTCGAACACCCTGCAAAAGGCCAGCCTGATGACCATTGCGAATGCCGACTGCAGTACACGCTATAATTTAACCATAGCCGGCAATCAGGTGTGCACCTACGACTACTTGGGGCTGGGCCAGGACTCCTGCCAGTACGATTCAGGCGGCCCGGTGATCATGCGTCAGCGATCCCGCATGTTTCTGCTGGGCATCATCAGCTATGGACGCGCCTGTGGCCAGCGCTATGGCATCGGCGTCAACACTCGCATCTCAGGCCATCTGGACTGGCTCTGGCGCTACTTGGGCGGCACGGTGTGTGCCCGCTAGGAATGGCTGGTGTTTATGGACTGCAATGTGATATGATGTCAGTTGCTGGCAGAAGCTTGACAATTGCTAGACAGCTCTTTGGGTGTTGGCCTTGAAGCCATTTGATGCCTCAGCAGTTTCTTGAGCTGCCAGTTGCCATCGTTGTTGTTGTTGTTGTTGTTGTTGTTGTTGTTGTTGTTGTTGTTGCTGCTGTCGCTTCTTCTTCAATTTCCAGTCTTCGAGTGTTGACAAAAGCCTTAATTTGCATTTAAATTAAAATGCTGTGACATGTTTTGCCTACATTTTAAACAACGCACAAAACTTGCAGTCCCCCTCCTTCTCTCACCCTTTCCAACAACATCCAGCATTGCAGCCTACAGCACTGTGCATAGTTCTTACCAACTACAATCAAATTTACTGACATTTTATACACTAACCTGTGACGAGTACTTTAGCTTAAACTAGGTGTTTTGCTAAGGAAATATTTTATAAAAATACATTTATGAAACTTATATATTGCTATTACAATAAATTATGATATGATAAATACAAATAATTAAAATAAAAATAATATGATGTTCTATTTTGCCTTTGAAGTTATCCAACTATGGTCAAAAATAATTTATTTAAAGTTATATTAATAATTAAAAAAATTATAATTCAACTTAATGTTTATTAATAATGTTTAATATTTCCATTCATTTTATGAGCTATACTCAAACATTTTGTTTTAATGCTTTCTTATTTTTTTTATAAAATAAGACTGATCATAGTCATATACGACTGGATGTTAAGAAGCTAATAATGTAAATACTGAATAAAAAAAAGAAAACTTTTTGAAATTAAATTTTAATAATACAAATGCAATGCAATATTATATCTAGCATTAGATTAATGAATATATAAAACTGAAATATATTATTTAAAATTTTTTAAATAAATAAATTTAAATAAATAATTTAAATAACTCAAAAATATATATTTTTCTTTTAATTCTTTCTATAATAAAAAATAGTATACATAAAATATATAATATAATAATATAATATATATAATTAACATTATCTCATCTAGATTTCTCAATGTGCATTGCAGTGCATTCACCATTCGCTCTGTTATTTACATTTGTTTGTTGTATTTGCATTTATTGTAAAATGCAACTCATAATTGTTGTTGTAATTGTGTGCTAACTCAATTTCTCGGCGACGTTGTTGTTGCCGGCTTTATGTTATCTGAAAATTGCGTTAAATTTTGCATAGGCCTTGAAGCCTGCAAGCCAAAAAATGATTCCAGCCCTAAACGTAGCGCCTGCTGCGTCTGTTGCCTGCTGCTGAATTAATAAATTGTTCATGCGACGAGGCAAATTGTTTTTTCTAGGGGGGGAGAATATTTTTGCATTGTCGTGCATGTATTTGTAATTTGTTTGGAACGCAGCTCAAGTAGGTTTTTAATTGAATTCTGCTGGCAATAAATACACAAATAAATAAATAAATAACAAGAAGTGGCGTTCAGCTTCGATATAGCAAAGATCTTATACTCTGGGAAGTGTTTGAATGGGGAAATCGATTACGTTTATGGGAATGAGTGTTGAATGTTGTGAAAATATATATTTATTTAAAATAAAAATAAACATTTTAATTACAGTTCGTAATAATATACTCTGTAATATTCAGTTGCCCTTCTATAAAATATAAATAATGTTCCTAAAAAGATATTAGGACAAGACCGAGACATATTCAAGCCTAAGAATTTACCAATATCTCTTCTCATTTTCAATATATTCACCGATTTATTAAATGAAAAGCATCCCATCCTTAAAGCATCCTATTTCAAGATGTTGGCTTTTGATGCCTTTGTATCCATATTTTATTAAAATATATATATCTAAGCACTCACCGCTTTCAATGTCACTAAGAATAAAGATATTGAATTGTAGGTCTTATATTTTAATGCCTCACTTCTCGTCATACATAGACTGACAAAATTTCATTTTTCGAAAGTATAAAAATTGTTTTTTAAAATATCTGCCCAGAAGTAGGTGAAAAATATTTATTTATAAATTTGTATCCCCCAAAAGTTTTAGTTAAACATTTTCGGCAATGACCTCACGGAGCGTATCGACTGCGAAATGTGTCTCCCGCACTCTTCAGATGTGTCGGCGTCAATATAGTAGCGGAGCACTGCTGGAGAAAGGCTACGATGCATTGGCAATGAGCATGAAGCTGAGCGACAAGCGATCCTGGCCAGAGCGCGAGGAAAGCTTCGCCGCTGCTCAATTGGCGCAGCAGAAGCGCGACTGGAACAACTTCAGACAGTTTGGCACGAATAGCATGCGAATGCATTTGTCTAGAAGAACGGGCGCTACGCCCCGACGCAACAGCATGATTGCGCAAAGGAACGCAAAGTCCAGACGGAGCCCAGTCGCCGCGGCACAGCAGCAAGCGGCATGGGCGCAGAGCGAAACCCACTCCGACGAGAAGCAGGATTTGAGCGACGAGAGCGACGAGGACGTGGAGGTGGGCACTGTGCGTGACGTAATCTTTGGAAATATTGACAAGGACAATGACCAACTGCTCCAGCGTAAAGCTGATCAGGAACTGCTATCGCAGGTGACCAGGCAGCGAACGTCTCATCAGCAGGCGCTTTCAAAAAAAGTGATCGCGCCCTATTCAACGTATAACAACCACAGAAGTACCTGGGCCGCGTTTCGTCATCGTATGATATATGGAGGTACAGGCTATTAAACACAATATTGTGCTGCCGCAAGGTACACAGACACAGAGCTTACTTACGGCTTACCCTAAATTTCGGTTTTACCAATTAGTTTTACAACAAAAATTTAACTCTTGCATGCTGTTATTTATTGGATTCGAAAATCGAAAATTTCCTACATACATATAATACTTGACAATGCCCCAGCAAAGATCAAAGACAAATAAAGGAAATTGTTAGGCAAATAAACTAGAAAAACGAAAAATAAAATCTTTTTCTTTGTATTCAATATTATTTCTTTGTTTGGCAGAAGCCGCTGAGTAAGCTGTAAACAAACAAACATCATTTGCATACGATTCGAAACATAATTAATATTTTATATATATTGCCATTCCAGTTACCGAAGAGAGTCACTTCAAATAGAATAAGATAGTCTCAAGCGACTGGGTGTCTAGGAAAACATCAAGCGCTACTGAGAATTGAGGAACCACTCAGGGAACCGCGCTCGCCCTGCATCAAAATTCCACAGTGAAGTTAAGAGAAGAAAGTGAGAGAACCAGAAGTTTTCAGAATTTATCAGAAGTTAAGTTAAGAGCAGTTTTTTTGTTTATTGTAAGAAAAAAAAAACAGTTTGCTTATTATATATATATATATATAATGATTTATGAATTGTTGTTGTTGCTGTTATCATTTAAAGCATTTGCTCTATGCTCCCCCATCCCTGCATTACTCCAGCCCGAATATGCTATAATTAAACAATTATGAGCTCTTCGGTCAAGTGGGCCGCTTCTAGTACTTGGCCCAATTTAGCACGAACAACATCAAAGGCAAAGTCAAAGTGCAGTCGCGACTAATTACGCCAACAAGTGGCAAACTCAAAATGAATTGCAGATTTTATATAGAAATATATGTATGTATGTATATGCATTAAACTCTAAATTAACTCGCACAAAGCACTAGAAATGGCAACAACTTAACAAAAACAATGAACACGAAAATGAAATCAGAGCATTTTGCCGGGCCAAGTTAATTGCATGACTTGGCCAAAAAGGGTGCAGCACGTCGCATAACGGGAGGGATGCTGCTGCTGCTCCTGCTGCCCCTACTCCTGCTGCTGCTGCTGCTCCTGCTAGTGGGCCACAGTGCTTTGCATAAGAAGTGTCCTGAACGCTCGACCGTTGGACCTCGCTGCCAGCCCGTATAATCCTTTGGCGTACTCTTTTTTATGTTTTTTTTCCCCCATTGATTTTTTGTATATTATAAAATTTATGCTGCTTTGAAAAAAAGTGTTGTTCTGCTTTGTTGCAATCTGTGTTGTTGCCAGCCGTGGCACTTCATTTTGCGCCTCTCTTTCTCTATCTCCCTCTCTCTCTCTCTCGCTGCCTCGCCCGCTTTTCTGTTTTATTGTTTTTCTTTTATGCCAAGCGCTGGGCAGCTTTTGTTGTCGAGTGGGCCAACAACGACGCCAAGAGCTCAAACCCCAAAAGGCTTGACAATAAAAATTATGAAGCGTATTACTTGAGTGCACTCTTATTTGTATTCGGTCCTTTCTTCAGCCACTTTCTGCTGTTGCTTTTGCTGTAGCCGCTGCTTCTGCTTCTGCTGTTGCCTTTTGCCATATTGAGAGAGCTCAAAAAAAAGACGGAAAATATAACAAAGTATGTCGCTAGTTTCTGAAGAGCGAACTTGCGTGTTAAGTAGCACAAAAGCGGGCTAAGAGCTCTTCACAAATAATAATAAAAGACAACAGTCAAGCCTTGTCTAAATTATAGAAAAGTCCCGTTGCGAAAGGAATAAACTTAAAATAATTGCATATACTGATGCTAAGAGAATCAAGCCAACAACTATCTGCATAAAGTAAGCCCAGAAGCATATATTCGTCCTTTCTATGGGGTTATTAGGCACAATCTCTGGAAGATCTTTAAAAAACTCTGTAACGAGTTTCTGTTTCGCGTTTGTGGAATATTATCAAAGCTACACGGATGAAATAAACATGATATGTCCACATAACTGATATGACACATAATATAAACTACAAGAAATTAAGAATTAAAGTTTAGAGAAATTTATTTAATATTATATATCGTCTTTGGTAATTTGAAGTATTCAATGCCATTTAAAATATAATCGCCACATAGTATCTCCAAATATGAGTGCTGCTGTTACTCTTACAGCCGAATCAGTGTTGCCTCAGTTTCATATGTCGTTCGAGCATTAAATACCTGATTTATTTTCAACTATTACACATATTCGGTAGCTTATCAGTCCTGTGTCGCATCCAAATCACGCATAAAACAACTAACTTAGTGCAACTAAAAGTGCAAAAAAAAAGAGCGAGTGTTTAACTTACAAATTTGATCACAATGTCAAGTCGTAGTCTTTCAGTATTTAAAAGATCGTTGCTCCGGCAAAAGTGTGAGCTGCCCCAGCAGAAGGTGCCCATGTCGCAATCCGTTATAAAGAAGCACATTATCCAGCAGCGCCGCGAGCCCAATCCAGAGTATCATCATGCACCGTCGACCTATGTCAAGAATTTCAAGAACCATCAACAGCAAATCAAAAAGGAGAAGGAGAACTTCTCGCACTGGAATGCCCGTTATCGTTGGGCCGATTTTCGTCGACGCATGATATATGGTACACATGATATATAAGTGGTAATGGTAGACTCAGAAGCTTGCAAACTTGGAGAGTATAAGAGTGCGTATCACTTATTGCGCCTTGAGCTCAATTCATTTTAATCAACTGACCTTCAATAGCATTCACTAACCTTGAACTATAAGAGAGGAATAACAGTCGAAAGCGTGTTCACCTACTTTATTCCTAAAATAAGAATACAAATATACTGAAAACAAAATTTGAACATAGTAACCAGTCAGTAAACAGAGATTTGGAAAACTATGCATTGAAGGCTATTTGGTAACAGATCGAATAAACAATTGCAAAAACAAATTCATTAAGTTTATTTTCATGAGCCAAATTTCAACGTGTTCAATACATATATAGAGTTATGAAAGATTTAAACATCAACTGAAAAGGCGTACAGTCAATTTATAGTATGTCATGATAAATACAGCGACAGCAACAGTTTCGTAAAGTTAGCCGTTAGATTGTGTTCGATTCTCAGAGTTTTTTCGGCAAACCCTAAATTCCAAATTCCGATTTACTCTGGACACAACAGAAAATGTCCGTGATTCATCGCAATTGCTCAAGTGTGATGCGCAAGGCAACCTCCACACTTTGCTCATGTGGGCAGAACGTGAGCTTGCTCGAGGCGAAGGTGAACCAGGCAGCCGAATCGATTCGCAGGATGCACAGTAATTCAATAATTAAAAAGTGGATGCTCAACAAGATACCCCCAGTGAAGTATGTCAACGGCCAGAAGGTGGCCAGGCGCAAGGACACATGTCACAGGCATCCGCTAAACAATGAGTTCATGTCAAAGAACGCCAAATATCGCTGGGCCGAGTTCAGGCGGAAGCTGATTCTGGGAAAGTATGCAATGTAATGCGAGTGTGCTCTTTTGTCTAGAGCACAATTTGATGGGAGTCCGCAAAAGGTGCTGTAGACAAAACCGACATTAGCTACAGATTCTACTTCACCAGACGCATGAGATACAAACTTAAGAATCAATTTTCGATGTAACTCATTTATGGAAATTCATGTGCAAACATTACGAATCTTTTTTTATTTATAATTATAAAACAATCAAATTGATTTATCAAATATATTGAAGTTTTTATTACTTAACCTACATTTTCATAGGCATATTCATTATCCAAATTTTAAAAGCTACCAAATATTATAGAATTTTCTTTGTATCATATATAATATAAAGTAAAGTGTAATGTTTTTTAGCTTTTAAAATATAATTTTTTTAAATATTTATTTATAATAATCAGATATTTTATAAAGAACATTATTTTATTATATATCATTTATTAGTTTTACACGAGCTCAAATCATGTTAATTATTAAAGGGAGATTTTATAGTAAGCCTGCATAATGATTTTATTTTATTTTAATATATTTTAATATAACGTTTTTAACAATTTTAAAAAATTAAAAAAATATATATGTATTTATTTAAACTCATTTAAAATTAAGTAAGCTTCAACAAATATTTTTTATTATTAAAAAAATAAAAATCGAAATGAATTTATATATCGTATGCCAACTGCTCTTCAATTACTCAAACAAAATCAATATCGAAACGAAAAACCAAAGTGCTTTGCTTACAGCGGCCACGTGATAATTTGTTTTGTTGCTAAAATATGAAACTAAAAGGCCAAACAGGCATTTCGCAATGTTTTTATTGATGTGAACGGATTTAATTGGCCTACTAGGTGGACAACAAAGCGCAGCTAATTTCTGACCACACAATGTGGCCGATAAAAAAACATGAAACCAAAAACAAAAAAATCTCAAAAAATTCGCCAGCACAAAAAATGTGCCAACAAAGCATTCCAAACATTGCGAATCGTAGGAAATTCGCCAAAGTGAGGCCCATAAAATAATAAAAATAATAATAATAAAATAATAAATAATTATAAATTAATTTAATTATTGAAATATTCACACAAATTTTGCCAACTTTTGGCGATTTCTCTTGCTGGAACCGCCATCATTTCCACTTGTATATTGATAGGGCGGCCATTTTGTATTTCGGTGTTTTGTGTACAACGATTTGGCGGCTTTTGTGCGACGCGTGGTTTTATGTAACGTGCACCACCCAACCAGTCAAAGTGAGCCCACCCAGCACCCGTTGGCCCTATAAAACGTCAATTCCATGAGCCGACATGTCGATATTTTTACCAATTTTTAGCTGCCTCTTGCAAATTGCTTTTTGAGCTTGTTAGAGTTTGGCACACACGCTAATGAATAGTCAAAGTCCAGGCGCTTGCCGCACTTGCCGCTGCGTTTCGCGTTGCATAGTTTTCGGAGCGGCCGCAGCGCAGCAAAAACGAAAACTAAATGCCAATGCTTAGGCGCGTATTACGACAGCAGTGTGGGTGCCACGCCCCCAACAGCGACGCCATTTTGTAATCAAATGCAGCACAAAAGTATGCAAAGGAAATTCGAAAACGTTTCGATTCAGAGAGAGCAGAAGAGAAAACAGCGAATGCGCTTTCTTCCTACAGTGAAGGGAGAGAGAGAGGGGGACAGAGAGAGGTAGCTAAATTTCCATAAACATTTATATGCTTATATATATTCAGTTACCTAAACACATGCATCCCTTGTCACTTCGTCAACTATAAATGAATGCAATTGAATCCGCGCTAAGCAGTCTTCACTGTAGTTAAAAAAAACTGCATCTCCCCAGAGCCAGCTCAGCCCATTGCCGTTGTTGGCGTTAGTGGATGCTGCTTTTCAATTAGTGCCTCCAGTCTATGCCAGCGATTTCTATGCCTAGTGCCACGCCCATCTGTGTGGGGTGGAGAGGGGGCGCAACACTTGATGCCGCCGACTGCAGTTGACGTTGCCGCGTTTTACGTAAATTGAACAACAGAGCCGACCAGACGAGCCTCGCAAGGCACAAGCGGCACAGACATGTGCCACATCCCGAAACAAAACAAGCACAGAGCGAGAGAGAGAGAGAGAGAGGGGGGGCAGCGGAAGAAGAAGAACCGCCTATACTCTTGCACTGCAACGGCACCCGAATGCAGGCAAAGCCTCAAAAACGGACAGCTTAGCCGGACGGGGGAGTCACTGAGGCTGCTCGCATATGCGACTGGGTATTGAAAAGTGCATTGCAGCTAGACCAGCATGCGAAAAGAAATAAACATGCAAGAAAACAAAAGAGACAACAAGATGAAAAAACAAGCCGAATATGGAAATGCACTTGCGGAAGCAATGTGACAGTGAGAGTCGTCTCAGTATGATGAGCTCTAACTGAGATAGAAACTTCATATTTTATGTTAACTAAAATTTACAAAATATAAAAAAAATTTATATATCATAAAGAACAGTTTCCAACTGCCAGAAGGTGTAAAAAATAAAAAAATATATTATTATTATTATTGTTTTATTATTACTACTATTTATTTCATATATATTTTTTTTTTATTTATTTTTTTTTATTTATTATATTATTTTTTAAATTTTATTTTTATTATTATTATTGCTATTTATTTTGTATGTACTTTATTTATTTTCTCATTTTTTAAATATTATTTTTATTTATTATATGCTTTTTATTTTTTTTTTTTCTTATTTTTTAATTTTATTTTTATTATTATTATTACTATTTATTATATGTTATTTTTATTTATTTATTTTTAAAATTTTTTTTTTTTTACGAATTTGATTATTTTTTTTTCTTAGTATTTTCATTATTCAAAAACTTCCTACAATTTTCTCTTTAATATAATTATATTTAATATAATATATTATTTAGAATAAATGAATTATATAATTTTATATTCATAAAAATATTTCTGTATTTCATAAATTTATGATAAGCTTCATAGAAGTGCGAAACTATGTTACACATCTCAATAAGCTTTCACAATGTCTGCAGTTAGAGCATTCGATATAAATAAAAAATACAAATCCAAATACAAATATAATCGTCGGCTGAGGGGCTGCACACAAAAAATGGCAGCGACCGCATAGACAGTGACTGGCAGACGATTTGTATTGCCTTTAAGCCTAAAAGCATGCTTCATATGTTATGGCAAACGTTTAATTATTTATTTGAAAGGAAGACGACGACGACATCGCCGCATGGCGAGGCAGCCAGCAAAAGGAACACAACAAAAACGAAAGCCAAACGAATCAGTAGAAAGCAACAAAATTGCAAAAATGCAGCATTTTTATTGACACAACATCAGAAGCGAAGCAGGACGAGTGAAAGAGAGAGAGAGTGAGAGAGAGATGGAAGGCAAAGTGAGAGAGAGAGAGAGAGCGAGAGAAGGGGATTGAGTGTTGTCTCTGGCATTGCCAGCAGCCATTGAGGTTAATTAGTTGACATTTGCGCTTAATTGCAATCTGCGTCGGGGCATAGAGCGCCAGCGAGGCGTTAAGATTCTCATTCATGATTGATGAGTCAATTGGCTGCTGCTGCTGCTGCTGCTGCGCCTGTTGACAGACCATTCAAGCATAGCGCCAAACTTGACACCCACTTGACGGCAAGTAGCTGGAGTTGATTGGAATCCAGGAGGATGTGCAATGAGAGGGTGGAGTGCAAGCATAATCATCTGCATACTCGTAGTTCGATATGGCAGCAGTCAATATTTCATAGGATTAGGATAATTGGCTGATACAATAGGAACAGCTCTGAGTTCTTTTACATCCCCTTTATTATAAATATACACAAATAAGTTCATTTTCTTATATAAAACTCTTTCCTCTCTATGAGTCCCTTTATATTTGCTTCAGGCAGTAAGCCACCTCTGGCGTCTGGGCCCTGATCCACTTGATGAAGGAGGCGATGCGCGTGTTCACCGACGGCTGCTGCGTGGCGCAGGCGTAGCCGTAGCTCACAATGCCCACGGCCATGAGGCGGCCGTTGCTGCGCTCGTACAGCGCTCCGCCGGAGTCGTATTGGCACGTGTCCCGGCCGGGGCTGTAGGTGCAGAAGCTGTGCGCCGGCACAGAGCCCTGGCTGAGCGAATTGCGGCACTGTTCGGCGCCGATCACGTCCAGCGTCGTCTTGAGCAGTCGGTGCGTCTGTGGACCGCCGTACGAGGTGGTGCCCCAGCCGGCAGCCACCAGCTGCTGCCCCACCAGCGGCAGCTTTTTGCCGTTCGCAGCGGGCTGCAGGGGCAGGCAGGCCGGGCCCACACTGCGATTGAAGAGGATGGGCGTGCGGGTGCGCAGGAGG